ACCCCCTGCCCTCGAACGCCGCCGGCCACAGAGACTGGCGAAACGTCAGGAAGAACAACCTTCAGAACATGGCCAAATTCTGTAATTATTTTAGGGTATTTTAACTGAGCTTCAATAATCCTGAAGAATTACTGTATTGCCATAGGAAGAGGCTAAAATATTAATCAATGTTAGTCCTAAAAGAAAATCTAGATACAGAATATTGAAAATGTTCTAAGATGTCTGAAAGCCCAAGTGAGGAAAGCTTCCTCTGCCTGGCCAGGAAATGAACATTTATGGTCCAAGAAAGGCCCTTCCAAGCATAGTTCTTCAACATCCTTCTCTAAGCATGTTTGGACCCTATTCTGTCCCACTGAGGAATTTAAAACCTCCTGGACTAAGCTAACCATCATCTCTGTGGCGGATATTATAAACCACAAACAGGAAACATCCAAAAAAATAGGCAGTTATCTCAACCCCACCAAGAACCTCAGCCACCTCATACCCAGTTTGCTAAGAATAATGAGCCATTCCTTTTGGCCCCTTCTTGACAAAAGAAAACGCCTCCTTACCCAACAAGATCACGTTGCTGTAGTTCTCCAATGTGACCTCCTTGTACAAATATCTTTGTCCTGGATCCAGAAGATCCCACTCTCCTTTCGTGAAGTACACAGCCACCTCCTCAAAGGACACCAGTTGAAGATAGAAAGGACCCATTTTCTAATTGGCAGGAGTCTCCTAGTCTGGATTTTATTTGACTTTATTACCCCTGAAGTCAGGACTTCCTATGAGGAATATGCTAACAGTTCACAGTGTAGAGGTCTTTCTGCAGATAAAAAAGAGATCACTTTTTCATTGGTTGTGTTTCAAATATCAGCATAATATCAAATAAGTATTCCTAAAAAAATTTATTGTTGGCAAGATATAGAAGAGATTTTCATCCTATGTTTTTACTTTTTTAAAAGCTATTACAACTGCTACAAACATTTTAGTCTTCTTTAAAATAAAAATACTCATGTGGTAGCAATGATAAAAATGGTAATAATAATCCACATTCCATGTGACCACCAGCAGCACCATCACTATCCACACCTCACACCTTGGAGACAGTGGGAAGTAGTAAGGCTGTCTTTGATTAGTCATCTCTTACCTGAGGTGTCTCTGAATTCATCCTTTCCACTCCACTGTCCAGGCAAGGCATCCCAGATTGCATCTCCGATGGCCTCGCACTGCCTGCAGGCAAGACAAGGTGGACATGAACATGGTCACCTCTGGTCCAAGGGCTGGGTATGGCCTGCTGAGTCAGAAGCCATCACTGGTCTCTTGAGATTCATCCTCAGCATCCCAATATCTCTTCTGCTCCCTGGTAAGAAAATAATAATAATCTTAGAAGTGCACTTACGAAGGCTCAATGGGGAATCAAACTCCCAAACTCTGGCTCTGCAGCCAGAAATGTAAAGCATTGAGTCCCGAATGAAAATCTGCTTTTTAAAAGCTCCGAATCAAACTCCCAAACTCTGGCCCCGCAGCCAGAAACGTAAAGCATTGAGTCCCACTGGTTAGGGAAGAATGAAAATCTGCTTTTTAAAAGCTCACTCCACTCTCCCCTGAACACAACAGAGAACTGTTTCCACAGGTTTTGTCCCCCACCCCCATGTTATTCACCAATGAAGAACCATCTGATGGTTAGCAACTGGGGGCGAAAGTTAAGAAACCAATCAGGACACATGAAACTTTAGAGGCTTCATTGGAACAAAAAGGCCACTGAAAGCTAAGAGAGAAGGCTTCCCCCATCACCATCATTCCCCCCCCCCTATAATCTTTGTTCCTGATCCCCTTCCCTTTGAAAGAGAGCTTATCCTTCTCATGATGAACTTACCTACTGAACCTCTCCAGGTGGGATATACGAGGAAGTTCTGCTCAGTTTCCCTATCTGGACCTATGGGACCAAGCTCTTCACACCTCTACGTTGGATTAGGTAGAATATATTTTAATTTTTGTTCTAATCGTACTTTGATTTGCCAGTTTTGCTGCTGTATAACTGTGAACTTTTACACCTGCTTCTTAAGAGTCAGGGCTGGAGGGGCGTTTTTAGGTCACACCAGATAAAGCTTTAAGCAGTTGCTCATTTCATCAGTCTTGATTTTGTATGCCACAGATTTCTTTTAAAGAGTTAATTTAGCTTGCTTGGGACTGTATTATTCAAACGACTTCAGTGAAAATGGAATCATAGTCTGCTTTGCGTGGGAAACCATGGGTTTGATTCTCTGACTGTTATCATTTTAAATATTGCCGATTTCTACTTGAAGATGCTGCATCCTTTATAAATGAGCAAAATGCCTTTTTTCCCCTCTCTATTCTGTGTTAAACTTTAAAAAAAAATACTTTTAGTGGCTGCTGAGCCAGAGGTTGGGAGTTCAATTCCCCTCGGTGCCTCCTTGAAAGGGGCTGGACTTGATGATCCATAGGGTCCCTCACAGCTCTGGAGTTCACAGGTTGTTGTTTTTATTATTAATAATAATAATAATTGTTGCTGTTATTATTATTACTACTACTACTAAGAATAATAATAATACCTACAAGTCACCTAGTGTCATTTGAGGTTATGCCCCTCTACCCACTGAACTAAAAAAAGGGGGGACCTTATTTTCACTCCCCCAACCCCCCCCCGAAAGATCGAAGGGTTTTCTTTTCTGTGTGGTTTTTCCCTCTCCGAGTTTAAATTTCATGATGACTCAAAACAGGGTGGGCAAAGCCTGAACATTGCAGCAGAATTGCAAGGATCAGCTTCCCAGCAAGGATCCCCATAAGGAAGAAGGGGTATCTCTTCCCCCAAACTCTCCCAGATGATTTTTCACCCCCTTCCACCACCACCATCATCATCATCCCCCTCTGCCACCCACCCTTTTTTTTTTTACCTCTGCCTCCTTCTCCATCCAGGCATGGGCATCACCACAAAGCCGGCCTCCTCTTTCCTCCTTGGAAGACCAAAAGAGTGGCGCGGCTCCTTTCCTTTCCCCATCCTTCAAACCACGTGCCTCTCTAGGAATTCGGAAGCTGTTTCTTTAACCCTTGGAGGGCCGGCTGGCAGCAGCGGAGCGGCCTTCCCTCCCTCCCTCCTTCCCCCTCCCTCTCTGCTTCTATCAGAGGAGCTGTAGCAGAACCAGTGTGTGCACAAACTCCCGGGGAAGGTCATATTATTAATACGGCACCTCATTTTGTCTGTCGTTTTTAGTAGTTACTTTTTAATTTCTCTTTACATGTCCTGGATAATGTTCTGCTGTTAAAATAATATTAGCTGTGGGTCCGATGGCAATTTTTATATATTGTAATTGTATTTTAATTGTTCTGAATTTTTATTTTAAATGTTGTAAGCCGCCTTTGGGTAGTGTGGGCGGCATATAAATAAATAAATAAATAAATAAATAAATAAATAAGTAAGTAAGTAAGTAAGTAAGTAAGTAAGTAAGTAAATAAATAAATAAATAAAATTAAATAAATAAATAAATAAATAAATAAATAAATAAAATAAAATAATGAGAGCAACTTTCTGTGCTTTCTGCATCAGCTTGAGGTTTGCAGCTGGTCTGTTATCCCGAGCAGTGACCTTGTTCAGACCTTCTCACCTTTTTAGAAGCATCCATGTCACTAACTCCTTTCCCAAAAGTGTTCAGCCGAAAAGAAATCAAACCACCCGAGACCTGAAAGCCCATGACTCGCTGGAAAGAGAGTTGAAGGCATATTTGATAATCCGATTTGTGTCATTCCTCCTCAACAGGTTTACCTGGCTGAAGACAAAAATGGATATACTATTGGCTCCTGCACCTTATGAAGCAGATAAATGAAATCAGGACCAGAGTGTGGGTGAAAAATGCACACTGTTGTCATAGCATCATAGAATAATGATGTTGGAAGGGGCCCATCAGGCAACCCCATCATAGAATAATGATGTTGGAAGGGGCCCGTCAGGCAACCCCCTTGCTCAGTGCAAGACTTCAAATCAAAGGATGTCTGCCGGGTGGTTGTCTAAACTTCTCTTGAATGCCTCCAGGGTTAAAGCACTCGCCAACTCTTGAGGTAATTGGTTCTATTGTCATACTGCAACAGTTAGGAGGTTTTTCCTCACTCTAAAGCAGGGGTCCCCAAACTGTTCAGCGTGAAGGCCACATCACCACAGCCATCACCTAGCCTATTTCTTTTCCTCGTTTCCTTTTTCCATCTAGGACTCTGTGATTAATTTGGATTTTACCTTTAGTTTATTTTTATGCTTTATGTAAAACCACCCAGAGTAGACACGTTCTAGATGGGCAGTATGTAAGATAAATAAATAAATAAATAAACAAACAAACAAACAAACAAACAAACAAATAAATAAATAGTATATTTTCCACATTTTCAAAGCTGAAGGAACATGTGTACGGGCATACACCCCCCACCCTCCTGCCTGCCTGCCTGCCCACGTGCCTGCACACCTGCACGCATGTGCACATGGGCTGAAGGGAATGGACCTGAGCCTGCAATGTTCATCAATGCACGCATGTGCACATGGGCTGAAGGGAAATGGACCTGAACCTGCAATGTTCATCAGGTTGGATAAAAAGGCATGGCAGGCCGGATGTGGCCCGCGGGCTGTAGTTTGGAGACCCCTGCTCTAAAGTGTTCTAGCTACAACTACTGAACTGTTTTAAAACAAAGCCATAATAAAGGCAATGCTTGTGGCAAATGGGCCTCTCCAAGGGGAGAGTATTTTTCACCTGGGTTCATCAGGTCCAACTTTTAGGTATAAGGGAACACTGGGCAAAAAGTCTGTGGACATGTGGACTGAACTGGCCTACAGATAGATGCCCTATGGGGTGGAATACTGACCGATCAACTTTTAGGTATAAGGGTACACTGGGCAAAAAAGTCTGGACATGTGGACTAAACTGGCCTACAGATAGGAGTGGATTACTGACCGACGGAATGGCCCACCTATGGAATGGCTTCAAGAAAACCTTGGTTTATTTCATAAATACTGTATCACAATTGACTCCTGTTGGCAAAAAGGGCTGATCAGAATGCAGGATCATTATCAGTGCCAGTGAAGCCATGAGGCACCCCAAAACCTCATTCCACCAGGCAAAAAGGGCTGAGGATTTCTTCCAGCCTGGACTTTGGGGGTTAAGGTAAGGAAGCCGATCAGAATGCAGGATCATTAGGAGTGCCAGTGAAGCCATGAAGCACCCCAAAACCTTCGGCCATTCCACCACTGCTTCCAACACACTTGCACTCTGACCAGGGTGGGCCCTTCCAGCAAAGCACCAGAGTGTGCAGAGCCACCAATCTTGCTTGCCATTGCAGGCTGAAGCTGGTATGCCAAGAACCGCCCTGCCTCAGGGCAATAAAAGGCCAGTATGTTTTACATATGGAAAAGAAGACCATTTGTAGATAGACTGCCCTGTTCTGGACTGCATTTGTAGCTGCTATGCAGGTATGTAGCATCGAGGGTTACATATGGAAAAGAAGACCATTTGTAGATAGACTGCCCTGTTCTGGACTGCATTTGTAGCTGCTATGCAGGTACAGTATGTAGCATCGAGGCAACATGTTGGGAGGTTGATACATTGGTCAATGGTGGCGGGTGAGGGCGTTGGCCCTGAAAGGGTGCTGTTGCACAAGCTCTAGTTCCCAATATGTTGGGAGGTTGATACATTGGTCAATGGGGGCGGGTGAGGGCATTGGCCCTGAAAGGATGCTGTTGCACTAGCTCTAGTTCCCAATTTCCACCACCCTTTGGACCCTAGGCTGGGTGAAACCTAGAAGGTGTGTGAATGGGCAACTATAGGCGATCTTCTAACTCTAGATTTCCACTTATTCCTTTTTTGGGGGGGACAAAACTCTCTTGGCTGCGTACTTTAAGCCTTGCACAGGAGCCTGATCAGGTAGGACACCCAAATAAATTGAGCCTCGTGGCGCAGTGGTTAAACTGCTGTACCGCAGCCAAAACTGCACTCAGAACCTGGGGTCCAATCCCAGATAGCCGGCTCAAGTTGACTAAGCCTTACATCCTTCTGGGTTTGATAAAGTGAGTAGCTAGCTTGCTGGAGGGGGAGCAATGTGTAGCATGTATAATTAACTTGTAAACTTCCCAGAGAGTGCTTTAAGTGCTATGGGGTGGTATATACGTAGAACACCTGCTTTAAAGCCTTTTTACAAAGAAAGAAGTGTTTCAGACATGGTTGTTGTGGGTTTTTTGGGCTCTTTGGCCATGTTCTGCAGGTTGTTCTTCCTAACGTTTCACCAGTCTCTGTGGCCATGGGAATCTTCAGAGGACAGCACTCTGAAGATGCCGGCCACAGAGACTGGCGAAATGTTAGGAAGAACAACCTTCAGAACACACCCAAAGAGCCCGAAAAACCCACAACAACCATTAGATCCCGGCCATGAAAGCCTTCGCGAATACTTTTTCAGACATGTCGTAAAAGAATTAGTTTTCAAACCAAAGTAGTTTGTTCTCAAGATGATCTAATAATAAAGACAACTGTGTCGTATCTAATATAGTAGTGCTGTTTCAGTAAACAGCAGAAAGCATGCATTGTACAGAGATTAAACAAGGTTGCAAGCAACAATACTAATATTTTGTTGGCTTTTACTGTCAAAGGTTACTTACTGCTCAATAAAACGTTTCTTATAATTAATCAGTTAATGCACATTGATGGGCACTTGCAATGAAAAATAAAACAGAGCATAGATTGTGTTCTTAACTGGAACCTACTAAACTAACTTATTTACACAATTGTATGTTTGATGAAATAGAAACCTTCAAGCAAAACTTTTACACAAAAGCAGAATACTAAAGCTTATAAGCAGTGGGGCTAATACTTTAATCAAATGCTTTCAAGCTGAATATATTATATCAATGCCAGAAGAGAAAAATCTAGACTAATAATTTATTGACAGAAATAATGAGAGAGAGAAAAAGGAAAAAATCCATAGAGCACCAGAACATAAATACATAGAAATCAAGCTTGATTTCTTACTAGAAAATATAATGTGTAAAATGAGGCCAATGTGCTTTGGAAATCTTATGGGAAGACAAGATTTAGTGGAAAAGACCATCAAGCTAAATAATGTTGGCAGCACTACAAAAGGGGAAAGGCCTAATGTAAGATGGACTGAATCCATTAACAAAGCGAAGCACCAGAACATAAATACATAGAAATCAAGCTTGATTTCTTACTAGAAAATATAATGTGTAAAATGAGGCCAATGTGCTTTGGAAATCTTATGGGAAGACAAGATTTAGTGGAAAAGACCATCAAGCTAAATAATGTTGGCAGCACTACAAAAGGGGAAAGGCCTAATGTAAGATGGACTGAATCCATTAACAAAGCGAAGGTCTTTAATTTCCAAGATCTGAGGAGGGCTATTAATAATAAGACTTTCTTGAGGTCACTAACTCAAAGGATTCCTTAAATCAGAAATAAAGTGTTGCATTCTCTCTGTGTGAATCCTTTGATGATACCCAAGTTACACTCCATAAGCGAAGTTCTCCACATCTGTATATGATTTATCCCCTCTGATGCATCTTGAGGTCCCCTTTCAGAGAGAAGCTCTTGTCAAGTTCCATGCATTTAAATGGTTTCTCCCCTCTATGATTAGTTTGATGCTGCTTAATATCCCTTTTATGACTGAAGTGCATTCCAAATTTCATATTTTTGTATGGCCTACTTCCTGGGGGAATATTTTGATGATGGCACAGAGCTGATTACTGCTTGATGTTCTTTCCATATTCCGTGTATTTATACCGTTTTTCCTGAGTGAATCCTCTGATGTTGCCTAAGGCTCTGATTCTTACAGAATCTCTTTCCACACTCTACGCAGTGATACATTTTCTCCCCTGTGTGAATGCTTTGATGCTGCCTAAGGTGGTGTTTTTGACTGAAACTCTTCCCACACTCTAAACATGTATAAGGTTTCTCCCCTGTATGAATCCTAATATGGTCCCTAAGGTGATGTTTCAGACTGAAACTCTTTCCACACTCTGTGCATTGATATGGTTTCTCCCCCGTGTGAATCTTTTGATGTTTCTTAAGGTACTGTTTTTGGCTGAAACTTTTTCCACACTCCATGCATTTATACACTTTCTCTCCGGTGTGAATCCTTTGATGCTGCCTATGGACCCATTTCTGACAGAAAGTCTTTCCACACTCCATACATTTATATGGTTTCTCCCCTGTGTGAACCCTTAGATGATCACTAAGGGCCCCTTTCTGAATGAAACGCTTTCCACACTCGATACATTGATATGGTTTCTCCCCCGTGTGAATTCTTTGATGCAGCCTAAGGTGCTCTTTCTGACTGAAGCTCTTTCCACACTCCATGCACTGATATGGTTTCTCTCCTGTATGAGTTCTTTCATGTAGTCTCAGGGTACCTTTCTGACAGAAGCTCTTTCCACATTGCACACATTTATGTGGTTTCTCTCCTTTGTGGATTCCTTGATGCTGCCTAAGGTGCTCTTTATGAATGAAGTTTTTTCCACACTCACTGCATTTATAAGGCTTCTCTCCTGTGTGGATTCTTTGATGGGCAGAAAGAGACCCGCTATGACTAAAGCTCTTTCCACACTCCATACATTTATACGGTTTCTCTCCTGTGTGAGTTCTTTGATGTAAAGCAAGGCTAGAACTAAAAGTGAAGTTCTTCGCACATACCATACATTTA